CACGATCGCTGAAGATAAGTGGGTGCATAGGCAAATGTGAAGAAAGCTGATGATGCCCAGTTATCAAAAGATACAGCATCTCTGGGTTTGTAAAGGCTTGAAGATAAGCAAGTGGCCATCTAGCTCAGAAACAGCAAAGCCCACATCGAAGAACACCACCAGCCTCCTGTGATTGCAAGGTGTGATGGGATCAGGTTTCAGGCATCAAAGAACAAAAAATCATACCATTGTGAATGAGGGGGAGTGCAGAGTGGAGACCCAAAGCCCATCTGTAGGCGACTAGGTAATGCTTATTTTTTAATCACACTGTTAGAGTAATTCTGTGCATATCGTTCTTTGTTATCATTTGATTATGGTCAAGTTTTGTTTTAAATCTTGTATCCTTCAGAACACTGGTCGTTTCATATTTGAATCCATAGCTCAGTGGTGCTCAGACACATACATGCTCTCTGGGTAACTTTTTTTTTTTTTTGCTCTCTAGGTAATTTTTATAGATAAATAAACAAATACTTGCTCAGAAAACAAACTTAGTGGCTATGGTTTGCTCCAGATCACAGAGTAAAGTGATAGTCAAAGTTTTTTTTCTAAATACACTTTGAGTCGAAGAATGTACCACACTCTTACATCAGTTCTTACATTATGAAACTCTAGAAAAAGTGTGGTACATGTAATGTAAGTATTTGTTTTTCAGTATATAAAAGTACATGCTAATAAAAAGTTAACATTTTTTGCACTAAATGTTTCTTTAGGGAAATGTTCCGCTGCTGCCCTGGATGTTCTTGCAAATGTGTATCGTGATGAACTTTTGCCACATATTTTGCCTCTTTTGAAAGAATTACTTTTTCATCGTGAATGGGTTGTTAAAGAATCAGGCATCCTGGTTTTAGGAGCAATTGCTGAAGGTAAGTCTGAATCAAGGTTGAATGACAAAGTTCTTAGTTGTCATTCTTAAGCCTTGGCTACTTTCAGGACTTGTTACTCTGGAAGTGAAGACTGGTTAGTGTTGAGTTTGCACGCTCTTTTCATTATAAAGCATTAATGCTGATTCTGTTAGGACATTCCTATAAACATCTGTCTCTGACAAAATAATTTATAAATTATCAAGGGTTCATGCTGGGGGGGCAACGGGGAGGAAGGGGGGAAAATGAGCTGATGTCAGGGGCTTAAGTGGAAAGCAAATGTTTTGAGAATGAGGAGGGCAATGAATGTACAAATGTGCTTTACACAATGGATGGATGTATGGATTGTGATGAGTTGTATGAGCCCCCAATGAAATGTTTGGGGGGGGGGGACACAAAAAAACATCTGTCTCCACGAAATGGAAATACTTAGGTACTCAAAGCCATAAATTGAGACAAAGGTAAACTGGGGTTTCTGTGTATCCAACTGGAAATTATCTAGGAACAATTGGGTTTAGCTTTACTTTCCTTATAAATTTGAAGCGTGTTGTTAACTTGTTATTTGTTGCATAGTAAATTATCTGAGTGCTTTTCATGGTGCATATGTCTGTTTAGTACCCAACTGAAATAATTTTATTTGAACCAAATTTCAGCGTTTGAACTTTTTGCGGTATTGTGTTTTCTAGGTTGCATGCAAGGTATGATTCCATACCTGCCTGAGCTCATTCCTCACCTTATTCAGTGCCTCTCTGATAAAAAGGCTCTTGTGCGTTCCATAACGTGCTGGACTCTTAGCCGCTATGCACACTGGGTAGTCAGCCAGCCCCCAGACACGTACCTGAAGCCATTAATGACAGAATTGCTAAAGCGTATCCTGGATAGCAACAAGAGAGTACAGGAAGCTGCCTGCAGGTAGGCTAAATACATAATTGAACATTCGTTGTCAAGGAAGGGAGTGGGTAGTTCATTGAGAAAGTGACATTATCAAACCCTTAATGGAGTATTGCAGGTTGGTGTTTTTCTAGCTGTATCAGAAAAGTTCGTTTCCCTTGTGTTTTCTTAGGTTCTGGAGGGACTGGTTGTAGCTCTTAGGTTTGCAAAGTAGCCTATTTTATCACATGGTGCTCCGCAAGAACAGTTTTCTAATCTGCAGCTTTCAATTGGACATTTTGTAAATTCAAGTGTGAGTAATTAGATAGAGTTGTTTTGTTTTTTTAACCACTGAGTAGCCTTGGTAACTGTCGAATCGTCCTTCACCCCCAGACCCCAGAGAAGTGTGGTCTGGAGACGGCACGGATTCTATTCAGAGGAGTCGCAAATTTAAGTAGATGGACATTTCTGCAGCCCAGCTGTGTTGACTACCCTAACTCCACAGAAACTCCTGTGATTTGTATTTGTCTCACTCCTGAAAGCATTCTGGTTCTTGCCACCAGTCTTTATGTTAGGAAGAGCAGGTTGATTGTGTTTGGGGATTTTAGTACTCAAATTGGAAAAAAAACCCAAAACTGCTATCAAGTTGGCTCCAACTCATAGCGACCCTGTAGGACAGAGAAGAGCTGCCCTGTGTGTTTCTGAGACTGAATAGTTACAGGAGTCGAAAGCCTCATCTTTTCCCCCCAGAGCAGCTGCTGGGTTTGATTGAATGCCTGCTGTTAGCAGCCCATCTCGTAACCACTATGCCACCAGACTCCTAGTCTTCAACTAATCATTCAGCAGAATTTTTGAGCTCTGCTAATTGTTAGACACATACTGTGTGCTGTGTCTTTTGTCTCTGCCATTGTAGATCTTCCAGGCATGGTGGTTGTGTGCTAGTTCAGTTGGTTCTGACTGACGGTGACCCTGTAGGTTAGAGTTGAACCTGCCCCGTAGGGTTTCCAGAACTGTAAAGACTCTCTATAGATCACCAGGTCTTGCTCTCTGGGAGTAGCCCAAGCCATTGTGGGTTTGAGCAGCTGAAAGTTAACCATTGTACTACCAATGTACCTGTATAGGCTCAGTAACAGACACCAAACAACTTACTTTGGGTCTTTATTATGTGATCATTATTATTCCATATTTTCACATTTGCCTGTTCATTAAAAGTGCTCATGTCTTAACAAACATGTTTAGATATAGAGTCCAGAAAAATTCCCAACTGAGATCAAAGAAGCCTGGTTCTATACGTGATCGTTTGAGGGCATTGGACAATGTAACTAAGGCGCCCTGGTGGTGCTGTGGGTTAGGGATTGGGCTGCTAACCACTGGTAGTTCAAACCCCCAGCCGCTGCTCCACAGGTCTCAGAAAGGCTGTCCATACCTGTAACGATTGACAGTCCCGGCAACCCTGTATAAGGGCGCTGTGAGTAGGAATCGGTGCCATGCCTGTGGGTGTACAATGTAACTACTGCCCATAATGAGACTGGACTATGATTACAATGTGCAGCAAGTGCTATGTAGGAAATGAATGCGTTCCCAATTATACTAGCACATTGATTAACAGCTATATAAGTGTTCTAGAAATTAAGGACTGAATATACCATGCAGCCAAAACAAATTTGGTTCTCAAATGGAAACTAACTACGCGGAGACGCTGCAGGTTTGGGAGTTTTTTTTTCCCTTTACATATTTCTCCTGATGGAAAAGCCATACATAAGACACATTTGAAATGCTCGTAATACTGTGTAGAGCTTAGAGAAAGCTTGGAGGAAGGGTAGGGTACTCCTGGGTGCTTGTGGTCTCAAGCACACTGGTTGCTAAATGTGTTCTTCTCGTTGCATTGTGGTTGCTGGTGGCATGTGAAGGGCCAGCTGGGAATTGAAGCCTGACCGTTTATCATTTTGCAGATGTGCAAATGGGGACTTAATGTACTAAATACATGTAGTTGTTGCTTCTTCAGTCTTCCTTATGCAGTGTCCATAACTTTCACATGCATATGAGGCAATGTCTGGGGTCAGGTGCTCCTTAGTCCTCAAAGGAGTATCCTTGCTTTTCCATACTCTTAAGAGGTCTTGTGGAACAGATAAATAGTAGGCACCAAACATTTATTGACAGAATAAATCTCAAGGATTGGCACACTTTGTTTTGGATTTTGTCGTGTAACTAAATAGATGGCTAGCATGTGGAAAGGAAGAAGGAGTACAAAGTAGGAGAGGAAAAAGGGAAAGAAGCATTTGGTACCATGAAGCAAGGAAATGGGCTAAGAAAATATGTTTCTAGAGACAGTTTAAATTCTTTTACAAACTGCTGCTTTTTTACAACAGGTTTTTTTATTTTTTATTGCAGTGCCTTTGCTACCCTAGAAGAGGAGGCTTGTACAGAACTTGTTCCTTACCTTGCTTATATACTTGATACTCTGGTCTTCGCATTTAGTAAATACCAGCATAAGAACCTACTCATTCTTTACGATGCCATAGGAACATTAGCAGATTCAGTGGGACATCATTTAAACAAACCAGTAAGTATTAACTATTTGGGGGTGGGGATGGGGCTATGTAACATATCATGAATTGGCCAGCAGGCACTTCTGAATGACTGGGTTAGTGGACTGGGCTTACAGTACTTCGAGAATACAGGCATACAAAAGTGGCGAGTTTATTCATCTTTGAAAATAATACTTCAACAATAAGTGTTTGTTTAATGTGGAAATTAGACCAGCAGCTTATGAATATAATAATACTTTTATGGAAAATAAGAGGGACTTTTTAAAAGACAAAGATCTTTAAACTCTTGCTTTCTGTATTTTTAGTTAATTCCAAGTATCTTTGTATCTGTCATTTCATAAGCCTTTAGTTGTGTTTGTTTTCTCACTGGGAACTTGGGAGGGGCAGTATATAAGACTTGTGAGTGCAGTAGTAGGAAAAAAATATTACTGATAGACTATAGGATTTGGCTAAGAAAAGCCAAAACTCTTGTCTCCAGTAGGACAAAGAAGAGAATGGATTTGTTTAAAATAGGATTTTAAGTAATAGTGGAATTGGATTTGTTTAAAATAGGATTTAAGTAATAGTAGAACCATATAGTAGCCAAAAATTCCCTGGTGAAGAATTAATGTGGGAGGTTATTGTAACCAATAAGAAAAAGGTTTTGTATTTCAAGTTACGCTTGTTTAGGAGTTTGGGGGACACCTGGTTTTCAGAGTGGTCTGGTATTGGTTTTGATTGTTGCATTGGGTTTGATTTAGTTTGGTTTTTGCTTGTCAGAAAGACTTAGATGAGACCCTGCAGAATCTTTGCCTGTTGTTTAAAGGATTACTTTGCATGTTTACGTGATTTTATAGATTATTCTGCAATCTTAAGTCAGGATGTTGAAATGACTGTGGATCTTGGTACAGGTACATACTCTATGTTTAATTCATAATATCTGTTTCAATATAAGTTTACTCTGTCCATTTAATAAAGTACTGTATACAATGGTTTCATTAGATGTGAGAAAGCCCGAGAAGTAAATCTTGCTGGAGTAAAACCATAGCTCATTTTATCCTTGATTGTGTTTAACAAGTACTACATGATTACCTTGTTTTGCATTGTCTAGTCAGTTTGGACTCTTAGCAACCCAGTGTGACACAGAACTGGCCCCAGGAGTTTCCTGGGCTGGAATCTTTCATGGGAGCACACCAGCAGATCTTAGCTGGCACAAAGTTGCATCAGCAGCCCATCACTTCACCAGCGCTCCTAAGTTTGTATGTAGTGACATATTTAGATGCCTTTTGTTTCTAAAGGACGTGGCAATTTCTTAAAAGTAGAATCAGGGTGGGTAAGTCAATAGGTGAAAGGAAAACAATTTTAAAGGTATCAAGTTAAGAATGACTGATACTTGGTGAAATCACTCTATGATGGTTTTTTAGTTACTCTGAATGGGTTTGAATTTTTATGGATTCAAAATGGACTTATAGTGAAATATAATAGTGAAATTTGTATTGTTTTTATCATTGTAAATAGGAGTATATTCAGATGCTAATGCCTCCCCTGATCCAGAAATGGAACATGTTAAAGGATGAAGATAAAGACCTCTTTCCTTTACTTGAGGTATACTAATCTGGTGACATGAAATCTAATCATGTTTCTAACCAAAAATTTATGACCTACTTTAAAATAGATAGGTATTATAATAAAGTATTAATAAATGTTTATTATTTGTGTGCCGAACCATTTCTTTTAAAACGCTAAATAATAGATCTTCTCATTACTTCAATTATGGTACATCTATACCAAGAATTAGACAGGAAAAGTGTAGCAGACATAATAAATTTTTGTTGTTTTTAACTAGATAAGGGGTCGTGTTATACAAGGTCGTGTTAACCAGTTTTCTAGCTTGCTCTGCTTGTTGTGGTGGTCGCTCAATGCTCTTTAGTCAGTCTGGCCGGTAGCCACTGTATGCACAACAGAAAGAATCACTTGCCAGGTCCTGTCAGCCTCACTGTCGGTGCTGTGCTTGAACCCATTGTTGGAGCTACTGTCTCGGTCTGTCTCATTGGGGGACAGTTTGTTTCTTTGTCTGTTTTTTTTTTGGGGGGTGGGGCTTGCTTCCCTTCTTTATCAAACATGGTGTCCTTCTCTAGGGACAAAGGTCCCCCTAATAACGTGTCTAAAGTGTGGTAATATGAAGTCTTGCTATCTCAGTTCTAAGGAGCATTCTGGCTTTACTTCGTCCACGACAGGTTTGTTCATTTTCTAGTATCCCATGATATATTCAGCATTATTTTGCCAATACCATAATTCAAAGGCAACTCTTACTGGTTGTCTGGCTCTCTCACGGAGGGTATAGAAGCCAGCAAGTCTCAACCCCATGCTATAAATGACGAAGTCTCATAAATTTGAGAGAAGAGCACACCTGGTGCTTCCAGTCTATTCTTGAAGGATAGTGTTCATTCTAGGAACTTCTTCACAGGTTCATCTGAGTAAACTGCTCTCTGTGGCTGGCTGGCTAGCAAGATGATAGATAACAGGAGTGAGCAGCATTAAGGGAGAGGTTTGAAGCACAAAGTGCCTAATTTACCTAGATTTTACTGAATGTATTTCACGTTTTATCATAATCCGAGATATAACCAGGAAATGTAGTGCATGTTCTTTGTTCTTTTTAGTGCCTATCTTCAGTTGCCACCGCCCTGCAGTCTGGCTTCCTTCCATACTGTGAACCTGTGTATCAGCGTTGTGTCAACCTGGTGCAGAAGACTCTTGCACAAGCCATGGTATTTTTTTTTTTAATCTTTCTTTTAGTATTAATAAACATTGTAGTGATTAAGGTATCCTTTCTAAAAAATTCTCTTAATTTCAGTTAAACAATGCTCAACCCGATCAATATGAGGCTCCTGATAAAGATTTTATGATCGTGGCTCTCGATTTACTCAGTGGCCTGGCGGAAGGACTCGGGGGCAACATTGAACAGCTGGTCGCACGAAGTAACATCCTTACCCTAATGTATCAGTGCATGCAGGTAAGACTGGTTACATTCAAACCAGTTGAAAGCTGGTGCTCTTGTTGCATCGAGGTTAATTTCTTTTTGTTTCTTCTAGGATAAAATGCCAGAAGTTCGACAGAGTTCCTTTGCCCTGTTAGGTGACCTGACTAAAGCTTGCTTTCAGCATGTTAAGCCTTGCATAGGTAGGGATATTTTCTACTGTGGCTAAGATTTTTAAAGATACTTTTACACGAGCTATGTCTCCTATTGTTAAGTTGAAAACTTTTAGCATCTCAGCATTCATAAATGTATATTTTACTGGCTTAACTCGGGCAGTTAGAACCACTGCCCCTTCTACCATAAGTCCATCATCACTTCCTCCAGCCAGCTCCTGAGGCAAGTGTACGGCAGAAAAGGGCTTTAGCCCTGGGGCTTTGTGTGCTAGTTCACAGTTACTTTGTGATCTTTTATTAGCTTTGTGGCTTGTATTCTTAGCTGCAGTTGCACTTCACAGTAGCAGTAATTGTCTTTTCTTCTCTGATAACCAACATAACTTTACAGATATCTTAGGAAACTTTCCAGATGAATATCATGTTAAAAGTAAACAATGATTTGGTAGTTCTTTGTGAAGATAAAAGATTCCTTAAATAATGCAGCCTGCCTTGTAATCAAATTTCCTTGATTAAATGGTGGTGTTTGTTTTTGTTCTCACTTCTTTGTATGTCTCCCAAAATCTGAAGTAATTATGTGTGATACATGATTTTAAAAACATTGACCCAAGTGTTTTTCTCATTTGACTTATTCTCTCTAATAATTGTATCTGAACATTGTCAAGAACCACTAGACTTAAGTCTGATTACTCACATAGCTCATTCCTACTAACAGTGTACTGAATTCTTGTATAATGGAACTTCATCATAAATCATGCAGTATTTGCCACCTAACTTAGGTTTTAGAATTTTGCCAAAAGGACTATCTGAACATTTTGTGCTTTATGTTCGCTTCTAACACTTATCAATACGCATCCAATCTTGTTTCATATATACCATTATTCAGATGGGTGTCGTTTCAACCTTTTCTTATCATTTATTTTAAAACAATGTATGTGATGTTTACTTTTTTCAGGAGGTATACAGCATCTAGTTATTTACCCTTTTAAATGTCATCGATCGTAATTAGTGCCTAAAGTGGTGGTTCCCAACGAGGGGTGATGCTTACCCCCCCCATGGGCATTGATTTGCAGGCATTTTTAGTGAACACTAGGGCCTTGCTCTTGGCATGTGGTCATAGCAGTGGGTGAAAGTCCAGAGAGCTGCCCAAAACAGCCCCCTCATTTAACAAGCAATTGTGAGGCCCCACATGGCCAGTAAGGCTTGGGGTTTGAGAAATGCTGGATTGATCCATTAAGTTATTGTGGTTAAAAAAAATCATGTTTTCATTCTTCATTTAATTAGGAGAATATTTGTATCAGAAGACATTTCTCAGGTCACTAAATTGTTTCTCTAAGGGGTAAGATAATTACTTGGTCTTCCCTCCTCTTCTCTGAGAGCTCTCGACCCTTTCTGTGTCATGGGTACTCAGGGACCACAATCTTGAGTGCTAAAGATCACTTTCGCAGCTAAATGTGCTGGTTTTTTTAATTGTGAAAACTACTTTTGAATTAGATTGCATTATAGTATTATGTTTTTCCTGCTTCCATTTCACATTTTCTTAATCTGGTGGTAAGAAAGATTATTCTAACAGTTTGTACTACCTAAAATATACCAAAATTCACATTTTTATGGTTTGATTCGCATGAAAGTTAAGTCAGTAGCCAATTATTGATTGCCTCCTGACCCTTTCGTGTCTTGAAACATACTACTTGGGGCTTAAGTAATTTTTAAAACAGTTCCTTTTTTCCTACAATCTTGTATTTCCTATTACAGTGTTTAATAGCAAACATTGCTGTGCCTTGCTTAAATTGTTACCTTACCTAGTGATTTCCTTTAAAGCACAATATACTGCTATTGAGAGGTTTACTATGTAGTATTTTAATTTTTTTTTTCCCCCTTAGCTGATTTCATGCCAATATTGGGAACCAATCTAAATCCAGAGTTCATTTCCGTTTGCAACAATGCCACATGGGCAATTGGAGAAATCTCCATTCAAATGGGTAGGATATTTTTCCCCCTTTAAGAATGCAAATTTCCAGGTATTGTAGTAATAATTTTGTGATTAATTTTTAAGTTGAACTTTCTTTAGCTTATATCACAGTTAATGAGAGCAGCAAAGTATTTCGTGCTGGTGTTTTAACTTACAAACCTTTCTTTTCTGTTTCTCTTTTTGGAATGATCTAGGCATAGAGATGCAGCCTTATATCCCTATGGTGTTGCACCAGCTTGTAGAAATCATTAACAGACCCAACACACCAAAGACGTTGTTAGAGAACACAGGTACCACATGACTGATCTGTTACGGTGCAGAGAAAATGAGTTGCCTTTTGCTTCTTTTAAATTAAGATGCGTAGAGAAACCAAAGCATAGCTAGTTTTAAAAGCCCAGCTTATTAACAGCTAATTTTAGATTCTTATTACTGAAATGTACTTTTAGCTACTTTCCTCAATCAGCTTGTAGAAACTTTTTATTTTATTTTTTAAATGCCTTTTCTCTTATTCCATGTTCCCTAAAATGAGTAGATCTTATTTTTGAACCATCTAGTTTTCCTTTTAAATTAATTCAAAATCAGTTCTGTAAAGATGTGTGGCTTTGCACTTGTGAAGAATTTTTCTTTTCAAAAAATTTTTTTTATTTTCAAGTGGCTTAAGAGCTGGGAAATTTTCAAAGGCATTTAAATTTTTAATCTTGAAAAAATTGGCTTAAGTAGATGGTAGTTTAGTGGCTTAGTAGTGTAGCACATATCAACCTGTCATTTCAAATTTGAAACTTTAACAGAACCTTAATGGGATTTATATTTAGGAGGCTTGTTTCTCTTTTGCATATATAGAGAGCATGCTTATATTAAAAAATACCTTCCATACTATAGAACACATTTCATTTGGGGATGATTGAGCCCTTTCTATCATCCCTGATGGAAAGAACAATAAAATATATACATTTAATTACTTTTCATTCTTTATATATTAAGAAAGCTTTAATCTGACATTTGTTGGTTGTAAAAACTTTGACCCTAAATGTGATTTTAAATGGAGGTGTTTATTGGTATGGAAGGAAATCAGTTATCTGGCTGTTTGGCTGTATGGGTACTGTTATCTTACTGACTGAATTTAGGTTTTTTTGCTAAAAAATAATAAATATGCGCAGGATGATTTTTAAATCTTGTCAGGTGTTTGTCACTTTAGAATGCAGTACCTGTACATGACATTCAGATTTGAAACACTTATCATTATGAAATTAATGTTGAATTTAAAGAGATTTGATTATTTTTAAATGTGAATGCATAACTGCAAATAAATGTTGAGTGTATTGTATATGAAAGTTTCTTGTGGGATATCAGCTTGTCATTTTTGATAGTTCTTCAACCAATTGGCTTTAATTATAAAATTATACTCCCTAACAGTTAAGGGAGTTGATAGTGTCCTTCAAGTTGATGGATTGAATAGGTGTAATAATTAAGAAACAACTATGAGTAGTCATTGAATTAAATTTTTCACAATGGCCTCATAACATTTCCCATATATCTTAGCCAAAAGAGTTATTTTGCTGTTTTTTATTACTAACTGCCAGATTAAAATCACTGTTGACAACCAACATCTGTAGATGTCAACAAGCTCAATGGCTATTAAAATCATAAAACCCAGTTCCATAGAATTCAGTTATTTGTTTTTTCCCAATTAGTATATCCTACACTTAACTTTTTAAATGGACATCATCTGCTTTTATCGCATGCTTCATTGGATCGTCCCCACGCGCCTGTTCACTGAGAATGTGTGTTGCATAGTTTGTGTCTTTTGGGTGCACAGGTTTTCTTTCTCTTGCTTCATGCGGTTCTGCTGGATTTAGTATTATCTGTGTAGTTTGCTTCAAGTAACCCTTAAACATTTGTCTTTACTCCCACCCTTTTTTTATGAAAGGCTAACCTGTTTTTGAGAGAACACCATTAAAGCACCTCATGGTTTGTTTTCTGTTTGTATTTTTTTCCCGTTGTGTATAAATGTATTTTTATGTATGTACCTTTAAATTACAGAATGCAGCTCAGAGTTGCACTTTAGCTCTTTGTAAGTTTGACTTCCTGAATTTTGATGGTGAAAATACCTGCTTGATTAAACCCCACTTTAAATTTTTTAAATAGAATATTAGCATGTGAATAATATAAAGTTTATCATCAAATTTGTGCTATGCCTTTTATAGCAAAACAGATTTGTTATTTCCTCTAGTCCACATATGTCTCATTACAGTGGACTGTCTAAATTTTATTTTTTTCAGAATTTTGTTTATGTCAAATATAACTTGAAATTACTAGACTGTTAATCTCGGTTTTTCTCATTATTATCTGGGGCTTGTTGGACTGGGATTTGACATCTCAGCTATTTTCCAATTTATACATTCAGTGGGCACCATAACACATAAAACTCGATTATTGATTTTCCTATCAGGCAGCCTGTGAATGAGTACTCCACTGGTTTGTTTTGGAAAAGTCAGTGAAAAGGAAGAAAAAGTTACCAATATTTGGATTTAATTGCTAGGTAATTTCCAAAGAATGGCAGTCACTTATAAAAAGATTAAGGAAAATGGGAAGTAAATTATTCACTACAAAGAAGCAAGTGTGGATAGACAATTTGGAAACTTAACCACTTACTGATTTGTTTCTTGGGGAAAAGCATTATTAAACCTTAATTTCTGTCTGGTTTAGAATGAAATTCTCTAAAACCATCCACTTAATTGCTCACCTTATTGTTAATGGAATGATATTTTGTCACTTAATTCGGCAAGAAAAGCAAATTATCCTGGTTTTTGGTGTTCTCTCAATCTTTAAAGTTTTTTTAAATTCCTTTTGTTTTTCTTTTTCCAAGAGTATGCCATATATGTTGCTGCCCCTTATTTTAGGGGGTGGTAATAAACAGCACTGGTGAAATCTTATGTTTATTATCATACACAAATTCTGTTGGTTTCTGTTTCTGAGTTATTTGTTGTTTTTTCTTTATTTTTTCTCCTTCCCCCTCATTTGCTCATGTCTTGGTTGGCGTTTGGTGGTGTATAACCGTGATTGCGTTACCTTAGCAATAACAATTGGTCGTCTTGGTTACGTTTGTCCTCAAGAGGTGGCCCCCATGCTACAGCAGTTTATAAGACCCTGGTGTGTATTATTCAATCTTTTTTTTTTAATTCATTTTTCTTCACTCTTTCTTTCTCTTTCTATCTCACTTTTAGATATATTTTCAGTTGGTTACAAAAATCACAATCCTTAATCATTGCCAACCATGTGACTAATCTTGTCCTATCAGGTTTGTGAGGTTTTTTAGTAGCATCGTCATGTATATTTATTTTATGTTGTGGCTAACGACTAATTGATGCATGGGATAAGATTGTCACATGCTTGCTGTGTTAAAAAGCTTGATTATATATACAAAGCATTTAAATATCCACCAGAAAAGTAAAAATGCATGCAAATACTCTAAAAATTTAGGTTTTTTGCATTACCTTTGTTTTTTAGAATTAATTTGGAAACTTGGATTGCATTTAAAAATACACGTTTAAACTTGTTATGTACGAAAATCTTATTTGCTTGTTGAGGTAAAACTTAAACATCTACACCATAAGTTGTATAATAATTTATATTGTGGCAGTATAGTCTATGTTCTGCTTCTTTGATAATCTTTCAGTTCAAGTAATCCGTAGTAGTGTTTAATGGAATATAAATTTTAACATTTTTTAAAAGTAATTTGGAAATTTATTCATGACTCAAAATCACTAATATCGATTAAATAGGTGATTCAAATCAATTATCCTTTTTGTAGATGCAATCTATTATTAAGGCAGTGTGGATGTCACAGTTTCCAGTACATGGAAAACAGACCTGGCATGCAGGAAGTGTGAAAAACTTAAACTTTCTGGAAATAATGTATTTGTACTGTAGTGTTTATTCCATTAAATACTGTTCATTAGTATTGTAATTTAAACTGCTTTGTATTTCAACACTAAACTCAGTTCTATAATTTAATAGGTGTACCTCTTTGAGAAACATAAGAGACAATGAGGAAAAGGATTCGGCATTCCGTGGGATTTGTACCATGATCAGTGTGAATCCCAGTGGAGTAATCCAAGTAAGACATTCACAAGGATTTGTATTTATTTTATTACAGTTCCTAATATCTTGGAATGATCATGCTAGTTTCTGTTTGCTCAGTCTTTGTCAGGAAATAAGAACAGTCCGTTTGAAAAGTCAGACTTGGCTCTGGTCTTTAACTAAAGCTTCTGCATTTGTAGTCCACTCTGGTTGGTTGAGAGTTTATGAATTACTCATCAGCGCTTTGTCGTTTCGAGGTGGGGTTTTGTTTCACTTTATTTGACAGTAGAACATGGGGTGTGATTGTCATCAACCTGCTGAAAAAAATCACATTGCAGAATGGACAAAACAATAGCACTGGCTGTGTGCAGTCAATCAATGAAGCTCCAGATTCTTGGGCAGATAAACTGTAAGAAAGAGAGAAAGGGAAAGGGGGGAACCTAGAGATTCCAAGGGACCCAAGACATAGCAAATCCGTTTTAAATGTGCTGGAGTGTTTAGAAATATATACTTGATTACTGAGGTGAAGGAAGCCAGTGCTGTAAAAGTCAAGGTAGTGATTTTTTAGGGAGCCCGGCAAACATTCCACTTCTTGATCTGTGTTACAGTTAAAAGAATTTTTGCCCTGGCGATGGCATTATACTTTGCTTTATGTGGCTAGCTGAATAATAAAAGTTTGCTTTGGAAGACATGGTTGTTTGTTTTAGGTAAATCAAATAGGTGATATTTTCTGATAATTAGACATTTTTTATTAAATATAAAAACTTCTCGGGTCGCGGGGAGGAGACGAGCCAGTCAGGGTGCAATGTAACAACGTTGAAGCATACAGCTTTCCTCTAGTTCCTAAATGCTCCCTTCTCCTCCCCACCTCCCCCACCCACTATCATGATCCCAATTCTACCTTGCAAGTCTGGCTAGACCAGAGGATGTACACTGGTACAGATAGGAACTGGAAACGCAGGGAGTCCAGGGCGGATGATCCCTTCAGGACCAGTGGTGTGAGTGGCAATACTGGGAGGTTGGAGGGAAGGTCATGTCGAAAGGGGGAACCGATGACAAGGATCTACATATAACCTTCTCCCTGAGGGATGGACAACAGAAAAGAGGGTGAGGGGAGATGTCGGACAGTGTAAGATAAGACAAAATACTAATAATTTATCAAGGGTTCATGAGAGAGGGGAGGGAGGGGGAAAATGAGTTGATGCCAAGGGCTCAAGCAGAAAACAACTGTTTTGAGAATGAGGATGGCAACAAATGTGCTCGACACGATGGATGGATGGATTGTGATAAGAGTTGTATGAGCCCTGATAAAATGATTTTTTTAAAAAACAAACTTCTCACTTCCAGGAAAAAATGTTTTGAACATTTCTAAATTGAGACGTTTTAGTAGTTCCCATCTTTGAAACTATGAGTTATCAGCTTGAAAATTCAAGTTGATGAAGACAATCGACAGGCAAGCATACAGATAGCCCCCAAAAAATGCGTGCCTTAGAACAAGATGAGTTTTATTGACACACTATTATTTGAACTCTGTAAAAGAGAATACCTTAGTATTATTTTTAAGTTTAAGTTCTTTATTACATGGGGGACGGACAACAGAAAAGCGGGTGAAGGGAGACATCGGACAGTGTAAGATATGACAAAATAATAATTTATAAATTATCAAGGGTTCGTGAGGGAGGGGGGAGCGGCGAGGGGGGGGAATGAGCTGATGCAAGAGACTTGCATGGAGAGCAAATGTTTTGAGAATGATGAGGGTAACAAATGTACAAATGTGCTTTATACAGTTGATGTATGGATTGTGATAAGAGTTGTATGAGCCCCTAATAAAATGGTAACAAAAAATTATTTACAAGCATGTGCAAATTAAAATTTCATCATCTGGCTCTCAGATTCAGAGGACAGAAGGTTGTGATTTGAACAAACTGAACTCTAGGCAGGTGACCGTTTAGTCGCGTAAAGTACTTTGCGCATACTTTAGTGTGCACTGAATTTTGAAGTGATTAGAGTACTCTGAATCTAGTAGTAGTAGTAAAGTAGTTTAACATGTTAGAATATCGACAATGTATATGTGTTCTGTGAGCTATTGATGTATGGTACTTAAGGTTGAAAAGTATTGTTTTATTATGATGTATGCAATAAGGGAAATAGTGTGCTTATTTTATGGTTTATAGAACATGCAGGGACTTCTGAAAGTTTGTGAAAAATTATTGTCTTTTAATTATAATTTTCTACAAACTTTTTAAAGTTCTTTTGCCATGTGTTGCAACCTTGTTTTTATCAGGATAACTTATCTTTTTTTTTTTTGGATAACTTATCTTTAAAAGTGTGAGAGAATTGGGTTTGTTGGTTGGGTTGGGTTGAATGTTGTTTGTAATTACACAATTTTTCTTCTAAGTTTTGGTTATTTTATTTTAAGTTTTTGTGTAAAGATGAGATTAGAAATTTAATTCCAAGCTAGCACATAAAATATGTACAGGCCAGTCAGAAATATAAGATGATTAAATTTATAAAATTCTATAACTAATTCTCTAAATAAAAGTTTGTTGTTTTCTGTTTAAATTGGTGTTGGCTGGATGCTTTTAGTCCATTGCTGATGGTAAACATTTACTTGCTATCTGATGAAAAATACAACAGCATTACATCTTCAGTATACCCTGAGAATGCGTTTAGGGTTCCTGAATAGCAGGGTACTAGGAGCATCAGGATGTCATCATTTAAATTCCAATGATCATGGTGTATTTTAAATGTTCATTTTATTTTAGCTAACATTCTTAACGTGATAGAAATCCCAGGGCTCAGATGTATTTTTTACTGCCTTTGACAAATATTGTAATCTAAGCTGTATTTCTTGTTACAGGATTTTATATTTTTTTGTGATGCTGTTGCATCATGGATTAGCCCAAAAGATGATCTCAGAGACATGTTCTGTAAGGTAACTAATTATAATGCATCATTTGACATTTAAGTCTTGTTGGAAGGTTTTAATTATTTCTGTATACCACATAAGCTCATCAGATCAATATTAGTAAACCGTGAATTTGATTGCCTTTGTTCTTGAAGAGAAAGATGGCATCATGTCATCGTCTTAAGATAAAGCAGTGATTTTGTATCCACAGAACATACACTTCAAAAATAGTTTCCCAAACAATAGCACTAATTCATGTTGTTCCATAATCCCACTCACACGAGGGATTTTCAAAAGGTTTGGGGAAGCTTCCATTTCCCCCCAAATTTTTTGAAAGCCCCTTTGTATCAAGTAGCATAGATTTTCTAAGATGCTAACTGAGCTTTGGCGTGTTCTCTTGAAATTGTAAATCATTCTGGCCTCTCCAGGGAATGGTTAGTTGTTTTGTTGGCTCCCTTTTTTTGTAACTCCAGCCAGAGGTCAACAGAATTAAGATGCTGTTTCATGTTGATTCAGTTACTATTAAAATTAAAGAAATACAATTGCAGCCATGTTTCCCATTTGTAAGCAATTTGACATGGCCAAAGTGTTATCCCTTGCTTGAATTCTGTAGGGTTTGTGTTTGTGTTTCATTTGCATGATGCCAGGAATGTTCAGCGTCTATCTCAGCTTCGAAGTTAAATGCCTGCTAGGAATTGCTTTCGGTGAGGTACACAATGGTGTGGAATCCAACATCGTTTGAGAATCATACTTTAAATTTTTTCTTTCGTTATTGATGCCCTAATGTCTTGTCTTGTCTTTTGTTGTTTTTTTTAATCTTTGCAGATCCTTCATGGATTTAAAAATCAAGTTGGGGATGAAAATTGGAGGCGTTTCTCTGACCAGTTTCCTCTTCCCTTAAAAGAGCGTCTTGCAGCTTTTTATGGTGTTTAATCTTATACACTTAAGCTGCAGTCCCATAATTAGGGGTAAGTTGCAAGAGAGCTTTTAAGAGTATTTAGAATAAAAAAGTTTAGGACTGTCAGTCTAAAGACTACTAACTGAAATAAAAGCTATTTGTTTTCTGCAGAGGCTGAACCCAGCAGTTAAGTAAACATCATTTCATATCCTGCTGCATTAGACCTTAAGATTTAAATTATTTCTATAAAGGCTTGAGGATTTTTGCCAAGAATTAGCAACAAAAATACAATAAATGGCTCCACTTCTGAATCCTAGAAATAATTCCAAGCAGTTTTCTGGCTAGATTTCTCAGCACTGTGTCTACTGAGGAAACCAGGGTTCACAGAGATGTGGGGTGAAGATGGCTCGGGATTTCATAGTTGGAGATCTATTGTGGTCTTTCTAACTCTGAGTTCTAGGAAAACAAAAATAGAACTGGAACTGGGTTTTACTCAGTAGGTAAGAACATTTATATTTCTTCAGTCATCAACAACTATTAAGGAATTATATCATGTGCCCGGCACTCTGTTTATAACTAGCTAGTGGACATTTTCATTTTAACTTGGGTAAATCCACTTCAGACGCTTGTTCCTTGCACTTTTTTTCTGTACTTACTAGCTGGGGGTTGTGAATATTGAATACCACCGTAATGTATGTGGTGCCAGAACTTAGTATTGTCTAGTAGTGCACAGCCAGGTCGATCAGTGTTGGCATCATGAGACTCAGCAACTCAAACTCACTGCCGGGGAGCCAATTTCAAGCTCATAATGATCCCAAGGAACTGAGGAAGCCAGATGTTAGGCAGTTGAGTTGTTATTCTAGACTAACATCTGACGAGCACAAGTAGCTAAAGCTCTTTGGCGACCTGGTGGATTTGTTGATCAGGAATGCTGGTCATAGGACCCCCGTCTGCAATCGGGGTGAAAAGAAAATGGAACGCTTTCTCTATACCAGCTGTGTTTGTCCCCAATTTGCCTTCACTTTTCCTATATGATGCCAGGGAAAGAACTAGCCGATATAATGGACTAGCAGGAACTTAGGCAAGTTGCTCTGTTTGTCCCGTTTTTAAATAGGTAGACATAGTGTTGTTGATTCATTTTTTTTGTTTGTTTTAGTGACTTAGAAAATAGATAGTTAAAATGTAAAAGTCGTTTTTGTTTTTCTGGGGTTTTCCAGTTTTATTGGCACATAATGCACATCATATGTTTCCATCATTTAATCTTGTTAAGAAGAATTGTACACTCGTTGCCACAATCAATTTCAGAACATTTTCTTTTGTTTTTTATCTTTACAGGTCCTTCGGTCTTGGAGACTATGAGGAGCCTCTGCACCCAGGGAAAATGTTACCCTTGACAGGGGGGAAGGGTAAACCAGTAGGGGATACAGTACAATCCCAACCCTACTGGGAGGGGCGGGAGGGAGGTGTTGCCGTCACTGTATTAAGTCGATGTTGGGAAATGTTTTACCATCTGGAGCCATTGTGGGTGGAAATCTGTCTCCAATTACAACTCCGCACTGGATGTGAAGAAGAAAAAAAAATCTGTCTACTCACAAAACAGTACATTCTGAAATATTATGGGGAATTGTACCAAAACAAGAACCATATAAATGATGCATAGGGTAAAGAAAGAGGAAAGATTATATAGCGCACAATAAAGGAAGTCTAAGAATGGGGGTTATAAACAAAAGAAGCTTCCCCCCCCCTTTTTTTTTTTTAATTTAAAGGTTTTTATATAAGTTTCCCACATGCTGGGACCTTGTCTTGCATGCTGATGAAGAGCTACACAAATGAAGCTAGCAGAGTTAAAATCAGCTTGCCTACCCAGAGTAGAAAAGCAGGTTCTTGGAAGTTACAATTTAAGGTACCCCAGAAAAAGTTGGAAATAAAATGAAACCAATGTAAACAATGAAGCACCCTGTGAAATGCCAAATGAGTCAGTCCTTTACCTTTGTGGGGTGGGCAGGGAGGGAGGAGTAAATGGGGCTGGGCATATCTAAAGATTGATGTCTTAATTTTACATTAAAACTTTAATGTAGTGCATATAATTTGATGGTTGTACTTCATTAGATTAATTTCTAGGCCAAGACATTATTTTTAATGTGCAGTTTAAGGTTCAGGCATGCATTCTGGCTCATAGTGATTGAAAGTAATTTAAATTAGTGGGGAAGTAGCATGCTTGCATCACATAGAGTGAGGTTGGTACCTTTGACCTATGATGCGCCAGTTTGTGTTGCAGTTTACCAATTCAATATAGCCCTGCATTTAAAATTCCTTTTTAAGATTTGTGGACTTTATTTTTATTAAGGATATAGATATAAAGTACTGTAGTTTACAGCTAGGCCTTGAAAATATCTTTCTAGGAAATCTTAGGGATAAGATTGATATTGTATTGTGTGTAACCTGCACAATGTGGAAAGCTGATATACCTGTGCAAAATCTTTGGCTCTGTGCTGTCAGTGTGATGTGCTTTCTGCATGGTTATATACTACTAGTGATTTTATCAAAACTTCTAACCCTTAAAATACATGGTCAAAAAGGCTGCGTAAATGTTAGTTGGCACATAAAGACAATTGTAGAAGTTGAAGACATGATTGCTGTATTTCAGTGTTTATTCCCACTCAGCATATTGCCTTCTAAGCTTCCTTTTTCTGTTCAACGCATGATCTTAAAAGATATATTTCAGTTAATGGATGTAATGCAGGGTTCCTACACTGTATTGGCGCATGTTGGTGGCCCTCTGTGCCCTAGATAAATGCACAAAGGGTGCAAGTTCAAAGCTACAGAATGAAAGTTGGTTTGGATCCTCTTCATTTCATTTGTTTAGCTTTTCTGTTATTTTTCTCTACTTACATGTATTCCTGTGAATAAATCCTTGTTAAGTTAACCCTTTACTTTTCCTTCCATGTGTATTTTCTTGTATACTGTGAATGTGAAAACCTAACTGGTACACTTGATTTTGTGTCCATGAGAAAGTGCAAGTCTTCATTAATCTGGATTGCCTGAACAGTGTATCCCATGATGAAGGAAATGGAGAGATTTTTCTGTTTAACTCTGCTGGTCAGAGACAAAGCCACCCCTTTCCATTTTCAGTGCTGCATATTTAATCTGCAACAGAAATGTTAAGCCATAACAACCTTTTTTATATTTTGGTTTGTCACCTTTGCATTGCAGAATAAATACTGAATAACCATTTTTTATAAGCAGTTGCCCCTCTTTGCATGGTTCTATTCTCTGAAGGTGTTGAATGATAACGGCATTGCACTGAAGTTGGCGCTGTGTGCGTGCGAATTTCTAAATATTGGTTCGAAAAGTTTCAAATGCATGGTAGCATGCACAGAGGATTTTGTTACCGTATCTGTGTGTTTGTGTTTTTTGTTGTTGCTTCCTTTTTTAAAACATTGTTTTCACCACCTGTACTTCGGCTTTGCGAATTTCAATCTGTAGAGCCTGAATCGAGTCTTTCTGATAATGTGTTGTTTCCACCACCACCACCCCCTTTCTTTTCTTTTCTTTTTTTAATTACAAGTTGGATCCAAAGATAATGTGGCATTTTGTTTCCTGTACCATTGTTTCTAGGAACTCAAAACACAGTTTTAGTTAGTCTGCAAAACCTGAAAATAGAGCTATTTTTATTCAATTTCAGTAATACACTGTAGTGCTTCAGGTATTACTTTATATTGTAATATGGGAGATATTTTAGTGCTTAGGAATAGGTAATAAATAGGACAACATTCTTTAAGCCCAGCAAAACAGAAACCATCTAGTTGGCTGGGCCTTTGATTAACATTTCCACATTGTCACTTATCTGATTGCAAATCCATTTTCAATTAGACAGCTAAATAACAGGGCTATGCCCATTTCATAGTCATTTGACCTCTTAAGGAAGGACATTTAATTTATAAAAATAGAGAATAAGTCAATATTATGAGTAAGCTTACGGATGGGCTTTTGAGTTTTCCCCCAGTTTTCACCTCACTCCCCTGCCTTGAAATTATTTCGTTTTTTCCTAGTTTACACTTCATATACTTAGTATAGCCCCGGGATTTGCAGAAGCCATGTGTTTTCAGTTAACTTCTTGATTTTTTTAGGCTCTGGTTTAGCATCTATTATTGTTCTGATAAAACTCAATACATCATGGGATATCTATATAAAGCAACTTAATTCTTGTGGTGTAGTCTTTGATAGTTTTGAATGTTGACTGAATGTCTTAGGAGGTTGTGAGTTTGTCTTTGTTACATTCCAGTGTTTTCTGCCTCTTGGCATGCTTAATGCACGGCTTACTTTATCCGCTTCTCCCACACCAACATGCTGTGGGTGTGCTCAACTACAGAAATAGCCGCTGCTGAGTGATGTAGATTTTCTACTTGAATATTTTTATGTTGTAGGAACCTCAGGAGGTCAGTGTTTACTGTTTTATATATGCCTTCTTTTTCCTGTGTGAGCTTCTCCTCTGAAGGATTCTAACAGAACAAAAGCTGCTGATCAACCTAAGTTGGAAACAGAAAGTGTATTTAATATAATTTAATGCATGTTTGGCAGTTCCATGCTATAGGCCCATTCATTAGTGAGTGAATTTAGTACCATGGATAATTCATTTTTCAGAAAAGAATTCTGTTTTTTGGGGGGGTATTGTCTAATCTCTTTAATGACTTCATACTATGTTTAAAAATAATACTTTTTTTTACATACTTTGGTTATTTTCCAAATAACCAACATGTAAATAATCTTTAAGAGCCAGTTTTGATGCTTTACATTATTGCTACTTGATTTTGTGAGGCAAATTAGATTTCAGAGAAGAGGTTTTAAAACACTTACTTAACCAAGCCATTACATCTGAAAAACAAAGCAAGTAGCATACATTTTGTAATTAACATTGAACACTGTGATTTTTTTTGTTAAGACTTTTTCATTGATCTAAATTGCTTAAATTGCATATATTGTAAAATAGGATCAGATGTATATTTTAAAATAATTTCAACTGATTTTCCTCTATTGAAATGCTCTGTCTACTCAGTTGTAAAATATTCAGATACAAGTTTTATCTCAGGTGAATACTCTTGTATCAGTTTTGCTTTGGTGACATATGCTTAAGGAGGTCATCATACTTCTAGCCTTGGTTTTGTTTTGTTTTTTAGAGTGTGCTTTATTGAGAATCTCCCCCTTTAGTCTGACTTTACAGCCCGTACACAAGCAGACAGGAGTTGGGTCCCTCTTGGCGAGTCTTTTGCGTGCAGGCTTACCTGAAAAGGAGTTAGCTTAGTCCTCCTTTTCACCAGCTCCCAGAGGAAAGAAACGTTTCTCCCCTTATTCACTCACCTGCGTAACTGAAATGCCAGAATTAGACTAATGTCCTAAACCCTTTAGTCTAAAGGTAAATGAAATCTCTTACCATGAGGGGGCATGAAAGTGGTTTTTTGCTTCATGTACTTAATCTGTATTATTCATATTGAATGTATTAACAGATAACGGTGCAAAAACATTCTTTCCAGGAGAAGAATGTATCATGCGTAACTGCAGTTTAAGCCCTTCCTTTGATCGTACTTTAAAACGTAACACAGTTTTGCTTAGTGTTATTTTTTCCCCCAAAAAAAATAATACAGGGGTGGGGAGGGAACACTAGCTGTTGCTATCAATACTGTTAAGAAAGCTGGTATTGGAATTTTTTAAGAACCTGGAATAGGAATGAATAGGCTAGATGAAAAATCAGATCAATAAGGATTGTTTATCACAATATCTAGTAATACCACGCAATACTATTATATACTTAGTGCATTTCACATTGTTAACTGTGGAGTTCTTTTTAATGCCTCTTAAAAATCAAATTATATGTTTAGTTTAACCTGTACAATTTCCATAGTGATTTGTTAGGTTTTGGGGGGAGTTTTTCCCTGGTCATCTTTCCCCCATCACTGATAATACGTAGAGGATTCTATTATCTTTAGCCCTAATTATACTTATGTTAAGGTAGTACATTTGAATTGCATAAGTATTTCTTGTGGTTTTTATCCCTGAGTGAGTGAGTGTTGTGTGTGTGTGTGTGTGTGTGTTTTCAAGATGCGTAACTGAATGTATGCATGATTTTAAATGAAGTTTAATTGATTTTTTTTAATACTTTTTGTTGTAATTAAACCCAAGCCAAATCCATTTGCCAACTATTCTATCACTAATTAGAAAAACAGTAGGTTCTCTTTTATTACAGTTCAAGTATCAAAGAATCCTATTTTACCCTGGCTTGGCATTATGCAGAATTTGTTCTTTTTCATATCTATCTTAGTAAAAGCCTAATGTAACATGGTTAGCCTCTAAGGCAATGTTGATTCCCGAGTTCCAGCATCATAAAGGAGTTCCATGTACTTTCTGCATATTATTTCATCGTTTTCCCTCCGTGGATGTATACGTGTCATATCTAAACTAAAGTTGGGTGGTTTTATGGAGATAATAATTAGACAATACTGTGTAATTAACTTTACTGAATAGACTATCATCTTGTGAGAAGAGATGTTTAAACATTATAAATTACTTCATAATATAAAACCGTTTTACACTTAATACTCATGTTAACTTTGGGTGCAATAATTTAGTAGTTTTAGCTTTAGTTATCAATAACTGGATCTTTCTGCTGACAACTTAGGTTGTATGAGTTACGCTTAAAAGCTTTAAATCTGATGTTCCTTGTACCTGCCACACTATGTTAGAATGTGTCCTTCAAACATATCCTCCTGCAACTTCTCAAACTGTACTAAATTGATATTTCTTGAAGTCTAACTGTGCTAACAGATCTTCATTTTAAATAGAATACGGTTTTAATTTTTGATAAGCTGCTGAATTTTAAAGAGAGTTTTTTGGGGCCACCAAATATTTTGGATCATGCAGAGAATATATATTGTACTGTAGTAATTTTGTATTTACATTTGTATGATGTGACATAATAGATGTGAATGTTAATCACTGCTTGACTATGTTAATAAAGTTGTTTAACTATAGATGTTGCACTCTGATTTTTAACAGGAGGACCCTCTGATTTTTAACAAAAGGAAATGAGCTCCCTCATACTCACCCCCACTCCACCCCCCTCATTTTAGGTCCAGCCCACTCCACCACCCCCTCATTTTGGGTCCAGATAGGGCTTATTACAGTTGGGGGGGGGGTTTTGTTTGTTGAGGTGTATTTTATTTGTTTGTTTGCTTTTTAACCCTTTACACAGTGCGCTTTTATGGTTTAGCCTCATCGTTTTAAAATTGAGGTTTTATGTGTACTAGAGTATAAATTTTGTTTTCCCCACCCTGACTTCCTCCCATGACTAATAGATTTCTAACAGTTGATTCTAGAGCCAGCTGTTTTAGTGGCAGGATGGAGATAACTGTTTTGGGGGGAGGAAATTTAAAGAAGTTATTAAAGCTTCGATGTTGGGATAAATGACATGAGTGTGTCTGCCCTATTAAGGCTTTCCTCTGTATCCTTGAGAAAATGAACATTTGTCATTTTTAGATTTATAGCTATAAAAGTAGCTTTCTCTTTAGTTTACAATCCCTTCTTAATGGTTGCATGTCACTAATTAGAATAAAATGTCTTGATTTCCTGGGGAAATGGGCGCATGATGGCCAGGTATAATGCGTTTTTCGTTTGAGAGGAACAGAAAGGGACCCGAGATTAGAGACGGTTCTGGTGCAGCCAAAAACTGTTTTGAAGTGGGTGAGGCTTGGGTTTCTTTCTCCTTGAAGTATGTGAAGTGCCTCTAGTAGTTACACAAGGGAGAAAATTGTAGCTTGGTTATTAAATTCTAAATTACATCTTTGAGGTAGAATCTAGGAGATGCTGCCCATCAGCCTGACTTCGAGATTCTGCGTGCTGTTACAACCTCAGAGACGGTGCCTAAACCTGCAAAAAAGCCTACATCTTCAACAGCTTAGCAAAATAAGATCTTTTTCATCTTGGTTGAAATGACCAAGCCATCTAAATGGATAAGACAAAGCACACATTGAGGTGTTACTTTATGCCTGTTTTTAATGGACAGGCATTTTTGTTTTGTAATGAGTTCCAGTGATTGACATTACATGTTTTGTAGGAGTGGTTGGAAGACAATTTACAGTCTTTGCCAAAGGATTGTACCCCCTGCATGTTTTGTTTATTTTCCTCAAAGATTGAACAAATGAAGGAATCGGCATAATAAAAGCACATGCTCGTGGAAAATTCCTTATTTTGGGGGTTGGGCATGGTTGTGCATTGCCAAGTTTGTTGATACTGAACTTGGGGTAAAGCTGTGTACTGTAGTCTCCTTGGGTTAAAAGTTCAGGTGGAGGAGGACTGCTATGAGGACTGGAAGCTACATGGCTATGAACTTGGATTACCCCTATATTACATGGGTGCCCTGGTGGTACTGTCAGATAAGCATAGAACTGCTAACTACAGGTTGACAGTTCAAACCCCCTAGCTACTCTAGGAGATCGATAGGCAGCTGCTCCTGTGAAGTTTCACAGCCTCAGAAACCCACTCACCGTCATGCATCAGGGAGCGGTTTTTTTAAAATAACGATTTGAGTACAGATGCCGTTAAGTCGATGTGGAAGCTTATGAACATGTAGATACCCAGTCTTCACAGTTTGCAAATTTCCAAACTTGGCAAGAACGATACAAGGAAGAATTGAGCTATAGACATTATGTTAGTAATTCTTTTCTGTGTATCTAGAGCTCTTGCATTGACAGCTATAGACTTTCGGGATAGTATATGTTGACTTTTGGAGCTCATTAAGTGAGTTTAAGCGTTTTAGGTGAGTTTTAGCTCAACTAGCCTTATTTCTATATGTTGCTATATAGTGTTATTTGCACATTTATACTTATATACAAATTTGCTTGTATTTGACATATTTTATGAATTTAGCAATTATAACCATTGTTGGACATTTAAGTTATTTGTATTGCATTCTTAACAGACTTTGCTGCTTTTTTTAAAGAACCAGTATCAAAGACTCCTTTGTTAACACTCATTGCCATTGGTTTTTCTGACTCAAGAGACCCACTAGGACTGCCCCTGTGGGCTTATGGGAGCAGAGAGCCTCCCTTCTGTGTAAAAGCTGGTGGTCTTGAACTGCTGACTGGTTAGCAGCCCAGAACATAGCCCGTTATGTCACCAGCGCTTCATTTTATTACACTGTTTATAATTGCATGTGAACATGTTAGGACAAATTGGAATTTACAGCTTAACGAAAGCCCTGCCTAAGTTAAATACCTACTTGTAAAACTTAAGGGCACCTCTGCTGGGACCTGACTCCTGAAGTGAACAGAGATATGGGAGTGTGTGCAGGCCCCAGGGTAACATGACCACGTGGAGTAACTCATGGACAAACGGCTCTGGGGCCTGCCTCAAGCAGCCTCACTGACCCCTCCCTAGAAGTACGTACTACAGAAGATTGCAAAACCTACAGGTTGGGGAGGGGCCAGCCTGCTATGCTCACACCGAAGCAAAACAAGTAAAAAGGGACTAGACCCTGTAGTGGCACCGTAAGCCCTGAGGATGACTGCCCTGCAGAGGACTGTAAGGCTGACAACAGCTCAAGCCATTAGGTTCCCTCCCTGGAGCACACCTCAATAGAGGACAATACTGGGGACAAGGCAGGGCATGAATCTCACACACACGCCGGGGTGAACCACGATCAGGAGCAGAGCCACAGAGCCCCGAGTCCCAAAGAGACCAGGCTAGGAGGGGCCGTTCCTGGAACCCACCAGAGCCAGTTGGGAGATAATCAAAGATCAGCAGACAAACCTGGAATTATGTATGCTTTTTTGATGGGGAGGGGGGAGTTGCTAGGTTTTTTTTCCCCTCTCGTTTCCATTTTTGTTTTGCCTTCCCATGTAAGGTAGGCATGGGAAGCAAGCCTGAGGAGAAAGCAACGGGACCTATGGTTCTGGAGGAACTTGACAGGGAGATGGCGGGGGGCGGGGGAGTAGCAGTGAGCAAACGCCTTAGATGGGAACAGCTAGGGAATTGAACAACGGGGAGGGTGTAAAGGTCCCAGAGGGGTCGGAGCAACAGCAATCTAGCTGAGTAATTACGAAGAGGCAGAAGAAAAGTGGGTGTGGTGGTGGGACAGTAGGAAGGTAAAAGGAACAGGAAAGATCTAGGAAGCAAAGTTATGGATAGAGGTAAAAACAGGTGTGTACATATGTAAAGATATAAAAATTGAGGTATCGGCCTAGGTACATATATAAAAATTGAGGTATCGGCCTAGGTACATATACTTACATGGCAATACTTTGAGGAACTAGATGCATTTGTGGCCTCTGCTCAAGCCCTCAACACGACATTTTTCTGAAAGCCTTGCATTCTGTGATGCTTAGCCTCACAATATGATCATTGAAGACAAACTGGGTGCGTAAGCAATGTGAAGAAAGCTGATGGTGCCCAGCTGTCAACAGATATAGCAGTTCGGGGTTTAAAGGCTTGAAGTTAAACAAGCAGCCATCTAGCTGAGAAGCAACAAGCCCACGTGGAAAAAGCCCATCAGCCTGTGCAATCAGGATCAGGTAACAGGCACCAGAAGACACCGCACACACACCAAAAGAAACCAAAACAAACGAGAATGAGGGGGGTTGGAGAAGAGACCCAAAACCCATCTGTAGACAATGGGACATCCCCTCACAGAAGGCTCACAAGGAAGGGATGAGTCAACCAGATAGCAGTATAGCACCGAGGAAACAATATTCCTCTGGTACTTTGAGGCTTCCTCATCCCCCACTATCATGACTCCAGCCCTGCCTTTCAGTTCTGGCTAGACTGGAGCATGTACACTAGTGCAGATAAGAGTTCATGACACACACACTCTCCGCCCCCCAGAAGAATTTATTTCAAAAGATGGCATTGAATCTGCAGCTCCTGGAGAGGGACATACCTGATCAGAGCACACAGGTGCAGATGAAGGGGGAGGAGGAGAGTGGAGCACACCCTGGCCCACCAGGCCTTGAGGGTGATGTTCCCGATTAGAGCAGCCAGCCCACAGAGAGGCCCACGTGGCCAGCCCCACTATGAGACATGATGGCCCTCACTGACCCATAGCCCAACAGGGAACAACAGTGGGGGAATTACACCCGATCTGATCCCGCCACACAGGCAAAACACTAAGGGGGTACAACAGAACAGCAAGGGAACGGAGCAGTGAGGTCCCCAGGGAATGCTGAAGGTGGACTTTGGGGCCAGGGCATGGTTCCCCAACAGACTGGACTGGAAAACACTCCTAAAGGCCAACAA